GAGTCTATCTATTAGGAGATAGACCCTTCGTTGTTTACACTGACCATGCGTCCTTACGCACGGCAGTGAACAGCCCGCACCTTTCACAACGAATGGCGCGGTGGTTGTCATTCTTTGCAGAATACAACTTTACGGTCGAGTACAAACCAGGACGACTTAATGTCGTCGCTGATGCACTCTCACGTCGTCCCGACTTTGAAACAGTCGCGAAACCCAACAGTGAGACAGTCACTGTTGCGGTTATGACGTCCTCAGTTCCATCTACAACGTTGTATGATGATGTGAGGCGGGCATACGCCCAAGATGGTGAGATAGTGAAGTTGTTGTCACATCTCTCCCAACCATCTCGAGAATCGTTGAAACGATTGTCGTCTGCGTATCGATCTGCATCAGATCGATACACTACTCGTAACGGTTTACTGTACTATACAGCCGTTTCTGGTGACACACCACGTGTTGTCATTCCAGATGATATTGATCTGCGTTTGCGGATCATGTTCGAGTATCACGATGCTCCTATAGGAGGACATCGTGGCCGAGAGAAAACATATCTCACGGTAAGTCGAGACTTTTACTGGCCCCGCCAGTATCAGTTTGTGCGAAAGTATGTTCGCGCATGCGAAGTCTGCCAACGAGTGAAGTCAAGTCCTTCACTGCGTGCACCTTTACAGCCTCTACCGGTTCCGGCTGAGTGCTGGGAATCCATCTCAATGGATTTCGTCTTCGGGTTACCCAAAGACGCACGCGGGAATACGGGTATTCTCGTATTTGTTGACAGATTCAGCAAAATGGTACACCTTGTGGCTGTACCAGAGACAATCACGGCAAGTGGCTGTGCTTGTGTCTTTATTGACACCATCTTCCGACTTCATGGGTTGCCCCGTGAACTCGTATCAGACAGAGATCCACGATTCACTGCTGATTTCTGGCGTTCCGTGTTCAAATCACTCGGAACGCGCTTGAAGATGTCAACATCTGATCATCCAGAGTCAGATGGTCAGACGGAACGTGCCAATCGTGTCCTTGAAGAGATACTTCGAGGATACGTACACTCCTTTAAAAGTTGGAGTGAGTTTTGCCAATGGTAGAGTTTGCCATCAACAACTCGGTGCATGCGTCCACGACACATACACCGTTTTACGTGAATGGCTTGCGCCATCCGCGTGTACCCACCTTACTAGAGTGTAACTCTGGTTTAAGGGGGGGAGGGACTCGCGCGAGCAAAAACCGATTTGGTTCACGCTCATCACGCTCTGACGAAGAAGTCATTGCGTTTGATGCCGATATCGATAACATCGATATCGAAGAAGATGATGCCAGTGAGAGTGCGGAAGCCCTCACTGAAGACAATGATCCCAGTGAGAGTGCGGAAGCCCTCACTGAAGAAAAGGTTGTTGTCGCTGCAGTGCGCTCACAGCACACTGAAGCTAACGAGTCATCAGATGAGTTCATACTGGCTCGTGAAACGGTAGTCCGTTTTGTGCAAGACTCCATCGCCGAAGCGGTGGATAAGCAAAAGCAAAACGCTGACAAGAATGGAAGGGCAAACACTCTTTTATTTAATAAAGGTGACTTAGTCCTACTGTCTACGGTTAATCTACCAAAACATGTAGTGACTAACTTGGGTAGCAGTAAACTACTACCCAAGTACATTGGCCCATTTCGTGTATTGCACCGCCTAGGCAATGCATACACGATCGAGTTACCACGTAAGATGCGAACGCATCCCACGTTTTACGTTGGTCGGCTTAAGCCGTACCATCAGTACGCTGCTTCTTCCGATGAAGAACGCCCTTGCGCTCAAGCATCTCGCAGAGAGCCTTGTGCTCCCGATGGTGGGCATCAACAAGGGTCTGAAGAGCAGTTATCTCAGCCCGAGACCGATCAACAATCCCACGAGCTACCCTTAGCTCGTCACGAAGAGATGTCAGAGATCTCTCGTTCTCAAGCTGAGCAAAGGCAAACTCAGCTCGATGCTTCGAGGCAGTGTCCGCCATTTGGAGACGCCTATTCCGCTCATGCTCGAGATCGTCGCGTAACCCTTGCGTTACGCGATCAAAGAAGCTCTCGGGAACACACCGATCCACATGATCGTGTGGAGAGCGTCTTTCCTCCTCCTCCACCTCCATTAGAGGACTCTCGCGGTGGCCAGCGCTATCTAGTAGAGCAGCTGTTGAACCACCGCGACGTGAACGGACGTCGGACGAGTTACCTCGTCCGGTGGCGCGGCTATCCCCCGTCCTGGGATTCTTGGGAGACCCGCTCCCAATTGATGGTTGACGTACTGGGTCTGGTCGAGCAGTACGACGCGACACATCCTGTGCCGCAGAAGGACCGCCGGAGAAAGTCTTCCCGGCACGGTCGTAAAGGGATTTCAGGTTGTCAATCCCTTCGTACATCTCAGTAGAGACACGTACGCGCCACCACGGGCTGGTAAGGAGGTAAGCCTCCTTAGGTGCTCGTGCAGAGTTGTTCACACAACATGGGCACGAGTCTCCCCAAGAGAGGCAGGGTAATCCTTTCTCCCTTGACAGACGATGCAGCTTGTAGCGTGCACCTGTCGGGGTTCGCTTTTCAAACTTATCACGAGCTTTGATAAGTTTGTCGTTCCAAGCGTCACGACCTACATCCTCGAGATTATGGATGTAGGCGTTCCACGCCTGAAGTAGTGAGGGACCATCACGTTTGTGATTCCCACTGTACCATCGATGTCTGAAGAAAGCATCGATGAAGAACTCATGTTCAGCGCGATAGTCTTTCGCGCTGGGGTCAAGGTGATGGATCCTTGACGAATCGAACAATCGTGTTCGATAACGATCACTCGTCGTCGCCGACAAGTGATCCATGACAGATTTAGGAGGCATCCATGCCTTCTTTTCTGGAGCGAGACGCAACACATTGCGGTCCCGCTCTTCCTGCGACGTGCCGACAGAAGTACTGGCACCTCGCTGTGAAGTGGTGTCCATTGGAGAAACGACACCACTATTAGCGCCCGAGTCTCGCGACCTCGAGCGCCTTCGCTTCGGCGATGGTTCATCTGACTCATCAGATGAACCAAAGATGCTGCGACGCAAAGCATCGTCCATGCCACGCTTGGCAGGCGGCTTGGATTCAATTGCCGTCGATACGGATCCGTCATCCGTATCAGGAGAGTACGAGACACCGAGCTCGTACTCTGTGAAGACACGAGTGTCTTCATGACCAGCGCCTGCATCACCAGGTGATACAGGCTGAGTCGATTCAGCAACCGATGGGACATCAGTTGCTGTAGTTTCTGCTTCGGCGTCCGCACAGAGACGTGCAGACGCGCTCTCGGCGGCCTTGCTCGCGCATCGCATGGGCTTGTTTACCATGCGATGAGATGTTGGAAAGTGGACGCGGACCAACAAGTGCAAACCCCGTCCCAAATGATTTGGGACGAGTATCCATTTAGTCAATCAGTCACTAAAGTGACTGATGGTTAAGGGGGGGTGATGTAACGGGGTGAATCGTTACATAACAATTTATAAGAAATTGTTAATAGAATATAACTATAAGAGTTATATTCTCAGAATATTGTCATAAGGACAATATTCTGTAGCACTTCCAAGTAGTTCCTAATTGGTTGATATAGGCCATTATATCAACCAACGAAGACGCGCCACGACAGACGCACGCAATGAGTGGTGAGCAGATAACTGATTTACACATTTGTATTTAGACATAGTTAGATGAAGATAAATAGTGATTTATTGCAGACATTAACTATTATAAATACAGTTCTACTTTTTACTCTAACCGAGTACTCGCTTCTTCTTACCGTCTTCCTCTGCACGTACGAGTGTACGTGAAGTTACGAGGCACCGCCTTATTCTGTTATCAGAATAAGTAGCTTGTACTGTCACCAGTACAAGCTTCAGGGTGCCCCGTTACAGTAACAGATTTTGGTCGAGCGTTATGAGGCAGATTTTGCACTACGCCATGGCTTAAAAAAGTACTGAATCGGCACATTCGATTGTTTGACTTCTTGCTGATGGCGATTTGTTTCTTGCAGGCGCGGCTGCAATATCAGGAGGCTCTGTCGTTGTCTGACGAAGACAGATGCACTGGTACTTTGTCCCGGACCATTGGCATCCCTCGCGTACATCAATCAAGGGTATCATAGTAGCTGGTAGGGGAATTGCAAAAGCACACTAACATCAACAATTGTGGCTTGACCAGTTGGTTCCGGAGGAGATGGAGAGGCGAGAGCTGAGCCAAGGATCCTCGCGAAATCTATGGGCAGTGTCCAGGAAAGGGCTGCAAATTTGGGTCCTCATCGAAAGCGTATTTTGGAGAAAGCGTCGGTGAGCTTCGATTCAAATGAAGCGTCGACATCCGCGGTCCTGTCATTGTCCGTTCGCGTGGACGGCCGAGAAGGGGGATGAAGCTTTGAGCGAAACAGAACAATGCGCAATCCTTCTGCATTTATGATGATATTGAATGGTGAGAGTCAGCGGAAGCGTCGATGCGGAGAATATGAGCAGGAAGAACACAATCAACGCACCTTCCCCACCAAGAGGCAGAAGATGGCGGAGACGGCCGCGCAAACGTGAGGTTCATGCACAAAAGGGTATGCCGTCTGTAGCTTTGGACCACTGTAGTGTATTATTTACGGCTCAGGGGTCTGCCCGAATACAAAACTCCAGTCAAACGACGATTACAAGCATGCGGGAGACACACATAACAAAGGTGAGGCACATGTAGCAAAAAGGTGAGGTCCATCTATAAATTCCACTATAGATACGGAATTGGTGGATTGATGCCTTGATGTGCACCGCAAACTATCATGTTTCTCAGGGATCAGATGGGCCACATGTATCGGTGTATTTATTAAGTACTCGTGTCGTGCTTTTTTGCCCCTATTATCCAGTAGGAAAATACTCCTGCGAGCAAACACGCACTGCCTCCCCTCGCTGTGGCCCGAATACGACGATACCGCCACCTTCACTGACCAAAGCGACAAGGGAAAAGAGTCAGCGATGGAGCAGCCGACGCTTTCTCCGAAACCACCAGAGCTCCAGCAGGTTGCTCAAAGAGACCGCTACTCTCGCCTCAATGTTAAGCAAGTTCTGCGCCCTTCATTCTTGCGGTATTGTCTGCTTGTGCTAGTGCTGTGCGGCGTCGGGATGTTCGCAATGACGGCCAATGTAAATACCGATCAGACTACGGGTCGTAGCACGAGCGAGCATAAATGGGAGGGAGAGGTCCATGATAGTGGCTACAGACCGCCACCTCCTGACAATAGGGACAGCTCGTTCTCGGCCGACGACGTGAAGCGCATGGAGGAGCAGCTCATATACACGATCCACGAGACGGCGCAGCGGACTATTGAACCGCGTGGTATTGTGTTGCCATTGTTTGACAACATTACAACGCTGGGCGTGTCTTTGATCTTGGAGCTACGAGCGATGGGCGTGCATTTGCCAATCGAAATACCGCATTGTGGAGATCTGAAAGACTCGACGACCCGCACAATTCTGGAACAAGAAGAAGTGGGTGTGCTGCACTTCTATGATGTTTGTGAACTTGCGTCAGAGACCGTCAGTTTGCGGGATGCGTCCGTGAAGGTGTTTTGCGAGAGTCTGAGCAACTGCTATGAGCTGTTTCAGAGCTTTGACATCAAGCTACTGGCTGTGATTTTATCGCGGTTTGAAGAGGTGATGCTGCTTGATGCTGACACGCTGTTCTTTGAGAGTCTCATGTCGCTCTGGGACACGGACAAGTACCAGAGTACAGGCACGCTGTTTTTTCATGACCGAATTGGGGCCAACAGAGAGCACTTGGGTAAACTCCTCCGTCGTCGCAATGACGGTGTGAGACAAATACATGACTTCATGTCACGTTTCGATGTGTCGCCGTTTGAGCCGTTGGGTCGCATTGAACGACCGAACGCAACAAGCAAGAACAAGGTGCCTGTTACACTACATTTCTCACCGAGCGAGCACCTGTTGACGAGTCATTCGTGGAACTACCGCGCAGGCCACGAGATGGACTCGTCGTTAGTACTATGGAACAAGAAGCGGCAGCCACGAGCAACAGCAATCCTGGGAGCGTTCGTAGCGCGCAATCGCATCGACCGGCCTCCTTCTTACGGAGATAAGGAGCTGTTTTTTGTGGCCACCGAGCTGGCTGAGACGCAGTACTCGTTTTCTGATTTTGGAACCGGAGGTGCGGGTTGGGACTTTCGCGACTATGGTCCCGGCAAGTCGGTGCTCTGCGGCACCACCGCGCATTATTACCCCGTAAAAGCGAAGGATGAAAGGCTCGTTGCTAATGCTAGCGTGCTGTACCTCAATAGCGATGACATTCTGGTGTATGACCCAAAAACGAAGCCCCTGTACTATACTCAGGCGCGACTATGCGAGGTATACCCGGGTGACGTTTATAAGAGCGGTTTGGATATTACGTGCCCGTTCGACGTGACGGGTGTGCGCTTTTCTCCTGAGCAGGAGGATCACATGCTGCTACGTCAGCACTTCTACGAGGTTGCTAAGGCCTGGATGGAGTAGCTTTAATCTAGCAACACAATGTCATGCCGCAAGGTAATACTCGTTGATTTATTGTGTGTCGAGTCGACGGCACCGTCATTTTTGTAGAAAGAGGGCCACGGATACGTGCACACACAAGCGCATTACCGAGCAAGCGCTTATTATTGCTCGTCAGAAATGAGCTTGAGCCAGATGGCTCGCTTGTAAGTAGTGCAAATACACATTTTGATGCTTTTAGCTGTCATGCTGAGGTGACGTCCTCTTCTGCCGGACTCGATGATGAGGAGACTGGCGTTATTTTTGTCCTGATCTATTCCATTCTCCAGTTGACTTCCATGTTCCAAAATCGATTGCATATTGGCACTCGATCTTTCTGGCGACATTCATTTGTCGTACCCTCAAAACGCTTGTAACTATCGACCCCGGTGGCCGAGTCGTCGACCGCTGGAACTGGGACCGGGAGGTACCTGGATCAATACTCGGTGGGTGTTTGATTACAGGGCGCCGGAGATAGGCCGATAAAGTAGACAAGCAACCACGCACAAGTGGCCGCCCTGTCAATCCGCGCAAAGGCGTGTGATAGTTGGGTGAGCTGGAGGCCCTACTGGCTGAAAAACTCCATAGTAAAATAAGGGGTGCGGATCCTGGAAGGAGTGTAAACTGAGTCACAGTACTCGCAGTTTACCCCAGGGTGATTGAAGGACCGCGCGGCATAAATCTCATAACTCTTACAAATTGCGTTCCACCATGCTTGTTCTATTGTCGCTTACTCATTAATCTTAACTCATTACTGACAAAAATTTATGCGATGTCCAAGGGACAAAAATTATACGTGGATACACATGTACAAAGGATATCATAGATATGTAAAAAATGCACAATTGAGGAGGACTAAGTGTTAGAGGGTACTAAACTTGTGCTAGCAAGAATGCGGGCTGCTTCTAGTGGTAGCAGTCATGCGGATGAATGTCTGTAGTACCATCCGCTTTGACCGATAAGACAATTAAGATCCGTGCTAAATAAATATTGCAGTAAACTGTTAGTGAGCAGAAAAATTTAAATGCTAGAACTTTTTCTAGGAATTAAATCAACTCTGACCTTTTTTATCTTGAGATCCTCAATTTCTTTCTACGCAACTGTCTTTTCTGATTCAAGTTAAAAACAGGCCGTGATTGTTATCAGCATTGTACAATATCAGCCCAAACTATGAATGTCCTTCTCAAACATCAGGTTCTTCGGTGTTGAAACATCTTAAACCTCATAGCGAGCAATTACAACCCGAAGTCCAGGCAAAACTGCATCCATGGCTTCCTCATTCCGATTGGTTGGTTTCATTGATGCTAGCGTTGCGGCTGTTTAACAGAGAACCCAAAGGTGTCTTCGGGTAGGCTAATGCGTTCAGTAAACACCAAAGCACTGATCTCGGTCCATTTTCCGATAGAAAAGCTATACTTGTTTGGATCGAAGCACCCAATTTGACATGTCTTAATTAAACTTTAGATTGTGAGCGACTGTAGGCCGTTTGATGGAAATTTCGTTATCTTCAGGATCAGCACGCTTATCGTGCACAATAGAGATGGCGTTCTGAGTGATCTGCAATCCAAATTTGTTGTAAGCCCAATTTGCTAGCACATAGTGGCGTACATGATATATTCTAGGCTTTGTGCTAACAAACCTTGAGCTTTTGTGCATTGGGGACAGTACTCAAGATATTATCATAGGAAAGTGCTAAAAGGCTGATTTCAATTTAGATTCGGCTGGGTCTTTATGTTGGGTCTAGGGATAAAAAGTCGCCGTTTCAAACACATGCTGTTATATAACGCCATTTTTGCTAACATGTTCAGAAATTAATACTTCGTGATCGCTTCGCCGAAGGGTTGTCTCGTAATAGTTATCGCGCTTCAGCTACGATGTACGCTTTTGAAATTGCATTTTTGTAGTGTTGGTTAGTCGCTCCTAAGAGTTACAAACACGATCTAAGAGGCATGACAAAGCAGATGAAACAGCCGCTAACGACTTAGAGCCTGTAATTTTAATAGCTTCGGCTGCGATAATCAGCTTGGTTAAACTTAAGCGATGAAGAGCCAAGATACATTTGTATATTTACTTTACTTAATTACTTAAGCATCCAACTAAAATATGTGAATTGCCTGCTCACAGGCAACTGCAGTGTGTCGGTGGAACTATTTCGGTGATGCCAATTGTAGTTAAAATTATGTAAGAGCGCGCCAGTCACATTATTTTAGGCGAGGCATAACACCTCACTGTGAGAGCTCGTATATAAGCAGACTTTTTGTATTTGAAGGACCTATTGACTGTGAATCTAAGAGGGCGTCATAAAGCGAGATTTTTTCCGGATTGAAACGCCAACAGCAAAGATAATGGCTGAAATTGGGTATTAGCTTATTTTGCACCCTTCTCATCATCATGAGCTTAAAATTAAACATATGAATATTAATTTGAGTAGATGGCATCGACAAAGTTAGGCGTGTTTCTGATTTTTTAGTTATTATTGAGCTACTTCTGAGGATTTAAGTTGACCTAGCCAAAAAAAAGGAACCCAGCCGTTCAGCATTTGCCTTATTACCTAAAATTTATCTGAGGAATTTATAATTTACTCTTTTTCCTTTCACAAACAAAGAAATCTGCAATCAGAAATGTAAGTGGTTTGAATCCTTGGCAAATTCAAATGCAATTTCCCACCAAGTTTATAAGTTATCCGAAGAATGAATGTACAGTCATTGTGTGCAGAAAAGCCATCTCTAAAGATTGCTCGCATGTATTCTGTGTTACATATTGACTTCTGTAATTTGACCTCAATTCCACATAGATGGATATCACCTCGCATTCCCGCATCCCTTGTGATGCGCTCAAAAATCCATGTCATATAAATCACCGACGTCCGACGATTTCTAAACGTGATAAAGCCAGTACACAAGTATGTGCTTGTGTACTGGCTTCCTCAGTTACGTTTATTCGGTTACTAATCGCGAGTCCGAAGGGTGAAGCTAAAAAGTGAATGCGCGCTATTTAATTCCAAAATTTTTAAATCTTCCATATCTATTTGTGTCCACTTGTCTTTCTGTCTGTAAAAAACGCAGCTAGGTGTATTCAAAACGCACTGAATGCAAGCTAGCATGTCTTCTTTCATAGGTGTCGAGGTTCAAACGAGGTCACTCTTTGGTTAGGTAACTAATATGACACATTTTTTGAAATAACTTGACGTTGATATAACGAGACTATGATTAAAAAAGCAATAATGGCCGCTCCTTAGACAAGGCTGATCACATTGATTGAGCATACTATAGTTGGTATATAGATATTGACAGCACCACATGTATTATTCATAGACCTAAATTTTAGAGTTTTTCAACTTGATCCAGTTCTTCGAACTAATTAAATATAGAAAAGGCAAGCATCAAAGCTTTTTAATTTATCTTATGGTAAACTAAGGCTTTAATTGATTTTAAGCTAACCACGAGTGCGTCAAAATTGCGACCTCTTCAAAGAATGACTCCATTCAATCTATGTACCAATGAGGAAGTGAACAAACTAGATTGCACTAATCACGTGTAAGGTACACCTAAAAGCATTAATTACCAAGATACGAACTGACGGGAGGACAGACCTACATATAATTATTTTTTTTTAATTATTTTTAATTGTAGACTAAAAGATTGTTTATATTATCGCGACCAGTAATTTAGAGAGGTTGCAACTTGTATTGTACTCGGTACCCTGAACCTTAGAGACACGGTGGTTTCCCACTAAAAGAGATGCAGAGTATCGCTTCGGTTTATAGGGGATGACGGGTGTCAGCCACAAGATAGAAAACATCTTGAAGATAATAATTTAAGACATGAGCACCTTGATTAGGTAATACTAGGGTTGAAATATATTGTAGAGTTAAACGTTAGTGAAGATCGGTTCCTTTTTTGATCTTGTCAAAAACACGTGACTTGCAAGACGTCTCTGATCGTTTATCTCTAAGAGTTAGCAACACCTCCCTGATGTAGCTACTCTTTAGAAATAAGTGCTGTAGATTCACTGAACGGTTCGGTCCCCAGGAACAGGTAGGTCCCTTGTACTTTACGCTTTTCCACTAAAACATTCTAGTTCTTTGAAACTAATATCGCTCGTTGAGCACTAAGCCTTCATCTGACTTCAGGAGCTGTGTGTAGCTCCGCTACACTTGGTAGTACTCGTTGCCAATCAACGCCTGAGTCCTTAACGACTAATTCTCTGTATAAGCGGAAACTTCCACTCCCCTCTCTGAGGCCCAAAATGTCGTGCATGATAAGTTGACCGCATCTCTGGGTCCATAGTAGGCGGCGTTTTTTGTATCGAAAGGCCCGGAGGTGTTGACTTCACGTGCTGAGAGCTTCTTGCACTATAAAGCGTTCTTTATAGAATAGGTCCGAGACCAAATGACGTCGGCTTTTCCCTCCGTGTGTGTCTATTCCTAACGAAGAGGCCAGGCCTCTTCCATTTAGAGTGGAAGTCAAAATAAGTACTTAGGAAAGGAGGGTATTAACCTTATCCTCTGGATCCGTGAGATGGAGATGGACGTGAGATCAGGCCTGATCAAGCTAGACCATCAACAGGTCTCGCTGGCTAGCTCAAAGCTCGATGAAAGGGAAAGGATTGGGTCTTTACTCGTGGCACGTCGGTAGACTTAGCTTTTCTCTTATGAGTGTCGCTTAAGTACAATTGTTACGGGTTTTTTTTACCACCTAACAAGGGTACCGCGTGCGTTCACGCTTTCTGCCTATTCTTCAGGGTTAGAATGAGTTTATGGACCAAAATTAAGATCTGAGAACTCTCATGACTGCTGTGCAGTCTGATCCTCTACCTGAGGTAGTCCATGTGAATATCTTCACACAGGATCTCCGTGCCGACATTGCCTGAATCGAAGTGTTTCGGGTCCACCCCTCTATAGTCTAATAGGCTGTGAGAATTGCTCTTGTTGCTGAGCATAACTTCAAGTCAGCCAGAATTGGCTGGAATGGGTACAACCCTAG